AAGCATCCTTTGTTTTCCTCTTTGTTCAGATGCACCCCAGGTAAGTTCTCCACCCTTGGAAAATGTAATCGCTTGCAGGTCAACATCTAGATGGAGTCTGAGGTGTGATCACTTGATTTCACTAGTTTTTATTTGTTTCATTGGTCTGGTGTTAGTTAGGGAAGAGGTTCTATAGCCCTGCGTAAGGCCATTAACTTCATACTCGGAATGAAATACAAGGGAATAAAAATAATTGCATGAGGAATAAATGAAAGAAGGGCTCGGAAATGCCCAGCTGCACCTGCGCACTGAAAAGTCATCTAAGGAGGTGAAGAGTGAAAAGTGAGAGGTCAGTACCCAGAGGACAGGGTAAGGAGAGCGAATGTGTGCCACAGAAGACAGCACGATCTTCTCTCCCGCCCCTGGCTGCGGATGTCCAAGCACTGAAGGAAAGCGTGAAGGGGCAGCACAGCGCTGAGCACCAGGTCTGTACTGCATGGTGGCTCTCAAGGCGTCACAGGGCCAGGACTGGTTTTCCTGTCTGTGTCCACCCAGGATCAAGCCAGCTGAAGCCAGGACATCTCCCCTATTCGTTTTCACATCTGTGCAGAGTTTATAAATGGAAATAGAAGGCAGAAGAGAAAATGGAAAAGGGAAGGCATTTCTTAAGTAAGTGCTGACTACACACATGTTGGAGGAGGGGGCATCACCATGGGGGACCATTTTCCCTACAGATGTTTGTGTGAAATCAGCAGCTCCTCCCTACAGAGGCTGCGGCTGGGGCCAGGAGGAGAGCTCCCTTCTGAAGGGAGGAGTTTGTCCATGAGCTACAACCAAGACAGATTCCAAGACCTGCTCCATGGCTGCACATGCTCTTCCTGTTTCTCCTGACAGAAGCCCTGGTGTGTGTGAGCCAGAATATGAAGTGAGTGAGAAAGAACAGAGGCCAGAATAGTGTATAAGGTGGGCAGGAGGGAAGAAGATAGAAAAATAAAGCAGGACAAGGAATCACAAGGCACTGCACTTTGGCAGGACTGAATCTTTAAAAAGCCCAGAGCAAGAGAAGTTGACCACACTCAGATTCTCTGATGATGTCTAATCTGTGTGTTATTCTGCCATATACCTAAATCCACACTGCAGTGGACATGGGCACACAAATGTCTCTCGTGTGCCGGCTTCGCTTCCTTGGGCTACATACTCAGGAGCAGCATGGAGGGCTGCAGGCGGCAGCTCTACTTTTAGTTTTTAGAGAAATTTCCACACAGATATCCCTAATAGTTGTGCTAGGTTGTATGCACAACAGCATATAAGAGTTTATTTTCTTCCACATCTTCACCAGCATCTTTTTTCCTTTTCTTCCTGATAACAGGGGCAAGATCAAATCTGCTTTAATGTGCATTTCCCTGCTGGCTAGAGATATTGAGCATTTTATATGTCTTCTTTGGAGAAGTGTCTCTTCAGATCAGTTGGTCTTTTTAAAATTACTTTGCCTTTTTTGTGTAAGGCTTTGAGTTGTTTCTCTGTCCTGAACATTAATCCCCCTTGAACTGAGCAGCTGCCAAAGATTTCGTCCCTTCTCCAGGCTGTCTCTTCACTCCTTGGGGCTGTGTCCCTGCTCCTGCTGCCCCCGGATCCCGTGCACACCAACAGCGCAGTGTCGCCAGTGCTGACCTCTAAGCCTGTCCTTCTGACCTCCCCAGGGACAGGCAGTGAGAGTCTCCCAGCCCTGACTCTTCTTCCTGTCCATCCCTGGGAAATCAGTTGGGTATTTGACAGCAGCTAAAGAAGTGCCCCCAAAACTACCCTAGAACACCCCATAAAACATCTAAGAGAGGATTGTCAGATACACAACAATGTGAAGATCAGAGGGAAAATCCTAAAATAGCAGAAGCAATGTAGAGCTGTAACAGCAATGATCAAATGGTCATAGTCATTCCTACAAATCATCCGACTGATTTGAATTCAAACAAATGCAAAGCTAATAAACTAAAACTATAGAGCCAAGACTTTTAATTTGAGATGATAATCTGAGGAACAAAGCAAGAAAGGAAAAAATTAAATAGGCCATTTTAATTAAACACTCCAGAAAACCTGATTTTACAGCCTCATCCATTCTATAAATATAGCTTCTCGTTAATAATTTAACCATAACAGTTCCCAGCCATGGGCTTTAGGGAGCATCGTTTAACAAGCCACTTCCAGTGGTTGTAAATTCCTCAAGGAGGACAAAGTTAAATGGTCACTGACCACTAAGTATGCAAGGGAACGGCCCTCTGAAGTCTCATCGAATCCTGCAGATGACATTCTGTCGCTGCAGTGTGACTGGCACTCTGGACCCTCAGGAGGCTCCTCTTGAGGACAGGGATCCTTGCCACGACTCTTTTGGAAGCCCACACCCTATCCCAGTTTAGCCCTGTTGGTTTCAGACTTAGAAGCTAGGTTCCATACCAGGTTTCTCTGGCTTCAGCTGTCACAGAGGGAGGGCATCACAGTGAGATGAGACAGGAGAACTGCTAAAGATCCACAGAAAACACGACTTCCCTACATTCTGCACAGTATCAGGCCATACAGAGATGCCTTTAACCCATGCCATGGCCTGGCAAAGTTCATGTGGCAGCAGAGCAGCCACCAGTATGAAGCTGCCAGGGAAAGGAGAGGAGGGTTTGTGCTTAGAGGAACCTGGGAAGAGTGGGGGGAAAGTAAGGTCTCGCACCAGAGCTGAGGTTGGAAAAGAGCTCGCTCCTCATGTAACAGTTGAAGCTGAGGCAGACACAAGCACAGCTCAGCCTACAGAGCAGGAATAGGCCACGGCTTCAGAGCAGACCACAGTGGCATGAACTAAACACCCGTGGCTCCCTCAGGCTGCCAAAGTCCACGGAAATACGGCAACTGCTGGGCCATTGCCTAGGGTCAAGCTGAGTGGTCTCCACCTCGAGCCTCCTGGCTTGAGCTGCAGCTGAGCAGAAGCCTCAGGGAGAAGACACCAGAATCTGCTGTGCCTCCCCTCCTGGGGCCCCCTGGATGGAGGGCGCAGAGGGGCACTGGGCCACCTCCGACCTGGGCCACCCCGTGACAGACACAGAGGCTTCACAGCTACTCAGAAATGTGGCACTGAGTCAGCAGCCAGTGGTTACTTGAAGGGATGTATGTCTGCTGAGCCCTTTGTCTCCTGTAAGGGTTTTTGCATTTAACGTCTCTTAAGCCCTTGTAGCCTAACACACCTTTTGTCTTTTCACAGCATAACTATCAGAGTCACACCATGATAATTCTTTAGAATGGTTCTATTGATCAATTATTAATTTTAATTTTATGAATTTTATTATATTAAACAATGAGTGCTTAACAGGAAAAATCACAAAAATAAAATATTGCATTTTTAATATTTACTGTTTATAAAAAAAGGATCAAAATTTTCAACATTGACCGGTTTTTGGTGGACAAAGTCTAAAACAGAGCAACAGAAATAAATTCCTATATGAACTACAATGAAAATACCAAAGCACCCTACAAAAAAAATCTTTAATTCAATTATCATACCTAAGGCAGTCTTCATACACAACAATGCACATTCCATACACACATATCACTTACATTGACAGCACATGTGTTTTGTTTTCCTGGTCTTTTTGTAGGAGATACTTGACCTGTGGCTGGTCTTGCTGTTTTGTCAGGAAATTCTTATTAAATTCTACAATGTGTAGTTAACAAAAACATGAAGTATTAAATTCTGAATATGTATTGCCCATTTAGAGTAAACATCAACATTTTCACATCAGCTGTGTACTTGCTTACAAAACCTAAAAGATAACATCAGAAGTAAATTCCTATATGAACTACAATGAAAATACCAATGGCACTCTATAAAAAAATCTTTACTTCAATTATCACACCTAAATAATAAGAAAATAAGATGTAAAATTCAAATGCGTAATGAGTGCTTAGAACAGGCATCAACATTTTTCAATTAGTTATATTCTTGCTTACAAAACATAAGAGGTAACATCAGAAATGGAAGCTATGTAAGCTACAGTGTAAACACAAACAAAAGTCTACCACGGAAATAATCTTTGCCTCAACTGTCACACCCAAAGCACTCTTCACACATGACAACTGCATGTTCCATGCACATATGTCACTTACACTGACAGCACATGTGTTTAGCTTTCTTTTCCTACAGAAGAGAGGCAACATTTGTCACCTCTATTCTCTTCCTATTTTGCTAGGAGCTTCCTACTATGTTGTACAGTGTGTACTTAGCAGGGAAAAAAGGTATCAGTAAAATAAAATTTCAAATGTGTAATGAGTGCTTAGAATAGACATCAACATTTTCATGTCAGCTGTTTACTTGTTTACAAATCCTAACAGATAACAGCAGAAATAAAAACCTATGTGCACTACAATGAAATTACAAATAAAATTCTATAACAAAAATAATATTTGCTTCAATTGTCCCACCCAAGGCAGGCTTCATACATGAAAAGTACATGTTCCATATCCAAGTATCACTTACAATGATAGCACATATGCTTTGTTTTCCTGTACTTTCTTGTAGAGCACAGTTGACATCTTTTTGGTTTTTTTGTTGTTGTAGTGGGTCTTTGGGATGCTAAACCTACCTATTCACCTGTCAGTTCACCAGTGTGCTCCACAACTTTTTGCATAGTTTTTCTTCTGCTGTAAACGATCTCTTATGAGTTCCAGTCCCAACCCTTTAAAAAAATTTCTCTGTGGTATTTTGCACTACTCATTTTCTCTACAAACTCTCAAACTCGGTATGCCACACATATTTAGGATTGAGTAAAACACAACCATTGGCCAATGCTTTGTGTTTTGAGTGACATCATAATTATTGCATAACTCATCAATAACATCTACTCCATCTTTGGTTTTGTTGTAGAAAGTTTCCATCTCAGGCTTCTATTTGTCAAGATTTCCCTATCAATATTTCCACCATGATGAATGTTGACATCAGCAGTACCAGTTTGTTTTTCTTTGCCATATACAAAGCCAATGTAAATCTTTTTGAAATCCAAAGATTGTACTATAGAATTCTGTTTTCAAATTGCAGTGTTTCATTTGGAATTTCTGCTCTGTTCCTGCATACAGTCCCTGTGCTTCTCAACTTGTGCTCTGTTAGCCAAAGTAACATCCACTGGAAACTGATAGACCAATTGTCGAGTGTCATATTCCAATTAGTTTGGGAGATGGGAGCAGCAAATCTGTTCACAGCATCATTCAGTTTGTTACGATAAGAATAAGGACCTGATGGCTGAGTTCCAGGACACCTGTCTAAATTGAAAGCATAATAAGTCTTTGCATCTACAAGGGCATAAATTTTTATGCCATATTTTGACCCATTGCTCTTCCATAAATCCTTTACATTCCTGCAGTTACTATGAGAAATCCCTGCTAAATGTAGCAGACTTATGAATCCTTTCAATTCAACTAGTGAGGTATCATAATAAGTACATTTTGAATATGGCTATTGATGCACACAAAATATTTTACTTCCATTTCATCCTTTGTGTATCTCACAACATCTTGTATCATTTTGTCTGTTATAATTTCCAACATTGGATGGCAGTGTTGGCATTTTGCCCAATACCTTTCACCCCTGCCAAGACCCTTGCTTTATTTTCACAACTAGTTCTAACATTGGATTGTTCCATTTGATTGCATGACCATTTTGCAACATTTTGATTAATCAAATATGTACGTACATTGCTGTTGTGTTCATCATCTGAATCAAAGAGGTTTGCATTCCCAGAGTCTGTACTGGTCAATTCTTGCTACATTTCACTGTCACAGGAATTATGGCTCACATGACCAGTGCCAAAATCGTCATCATCATCATCATCACCACACACCCGCACCACTCTTCTGTTATGAAAGCATATATTTTACCATAATAAATCATCTTCATCATCCATCCATGAGTAATCTGATGATTCACTTTTAACCTCCTCCAAAACTTGCCAATCTGGTTTTTCAAGTGCCATTGCACTGAATTGGGTTACTTCTACTAGAAAAATCAAAAGAAAACTTTTTTTAATAAATTCTATAGTATAGATGTATTATACCCTTTGTAATGCTCAGGTAAACATATGCAAAACCTGTTCCATGGAGCATAACATGGGTGTAAATCCTGATTTGACAATTTTGCACAGGTAGACACCCCTTTCCTTTCATCATACCAAGTGGACAAATACATAGATTGCTTCCTGTATCACTCAGGGAAAGTTACAGAGATATACAACAGGCTACTATTATATTACAGTAAAAATTCACAGTAGAAAAGTAAGAGGTGTGTATGTGACATGCTCTATTATGCTTCAAGGGATGTATTCAATAGGAGTGCACCTCTTAAGGACCACAGTTCACATCCATCCTTGCCCAGCTGGTCTCCATGACCTCTTGCAGAGGAACTTGGCTGCAACTCCAGGTGTGGATTCTAACACCTAAAAACCCTGGGCCCATCAGTCCATGCTGCATCAGACGGTCACAGAGAAAAATGACTCTGGCTGTGTTTTTCTGATGACATCTGGGAAATTCCTGTGTTAGAAACTAGAAAAAGTGTCAGGAGCCCTGAGAAAAATCCAAGCAACACAGCAAAGAGCATTTTCATGGAGAGCACTAGGGACAACAGAGAGCAGGAGTGGGAACAGGAGGACACTAATGGAAGACACCAACAATTTGGAGGTAGATTTATTTTATAGACAGGCACTCGTCAGAATCATTTCCAAAATATCAGGCCCGAGAGCAGGCAACCCAGGACCCCGCTTCCATTACAGTCTGAGTCTCTGCCCTCCATGTACCCATGGCAGACAGGAATTCCTCACTCAGAAGCCCCAGGGAGTGCTCTCACTGGGCCCTCCCTGCATGGGGCCTGAGCCAAGTGAGCAAGTCCTCCAAGAGCTGTTGGTCCTGCGGTTTGAGTCCCTGCTTTACTTGTGCCAGGACCCCCTGGGGTGTCCCAGGCACAGGCAGTCTGTGATTGCTGTTGGTCCGGCCTGCATCTGGTTTGTGTATGTGTCCTGAACTGACTGGAGACACAGAATCAGGTGGTTCACAATCTGTCAACCCTGCAGTTCATGTCTGCGTTTTGCCTGTACCCTAAACTGCCTGGGGACATAGGCCCACTGGACTGGGATTGTCACACCAGTGCAACCCAAGTCTGGGCCATGCACGTGCCCTGAACTGCAAGGGGATGCTGGCTCAGAAGCTCTGCCATCAGCTGACACCAATGCCTAGATACAAATCAACAACTGCCGGAAAACCCCAGACTAAGTAGAGCTTCTCAGCAGACACTGAGGGGCAAACCTGACCAACAGGAAAACTAGGGACACATCCCAAAACAATCCCAGAACTCCACCCCACACAGAACAAGTCCAGGAGACATCAACATAGGAGAACTTGGTAAACACACCCCTGAAATAGCTGAAATGATTGCAGTGGAAGTAAAGAAACAACTCCATAAGGCCATAGAAGAGATGAGATCAGAAATAATCTCTCAGGCAAAAAATAAAATGACAATAATAATGAAAGAACTGCTCAAAGCATCTGAAGAAGAAACATATAAGAAAATAGAAGAATAAAGGCAATGGACAGAAGCGTTAAATGAAAAATGTAGAAAGGACTTAGAATGCATGAACCAGATTCAAAGAGACTTCCAGGAAAACAAAGCT